AGTGGTCAGTAAGATATTTTTAAAAATGAGTAAGTTTGTTCCACAAAGATGCATTAAATTGATCAAAAATAACAGTAAAACATTTGTAACATTACAAAAGATTTCTATTTCAAATAAATACTGTTCTTTTGCACTTTCTGCTTATCAAAGAATCATTAAGAACATATCCGTTTTCACAAAAATATTAAGCAGCACAATGTTTAAAATAGAAGAGTTATGTTAAATTCAAATTGTAATAATATTCCACAATATTATCATTTTATTGTACTTTAGTGTTCTAGTAAATGCAGCCATTATGAGCATAAGAAAATTCACTCAATTTTTTTTTTAAAATCTTACCAAACCCAGACTTTTGAACGGTAGTGTATGTATGAGAATTTTTTTTTCTGATTAATAACATTTATCCTACCATTTTGCGTAGGATAAATGCATAATACATTTATTCATAGAGAATTTGTTGCAGTATTTTTTTTAATAAACAGATTGTCAAATTTTTGCCCTAAAAAGCAAATTGTATCAGAAAAGTTGAATAAAAAATTCTTAAGTGGTATGTGAATTTTTTTGTTTTTTTTTCACTGAGTAAATTGTATTTTTGTATTTTATAATGTAAAAAAGTTACAAAAATACAATTTACTCTGTTGTTAAAAAAAATCTCATGAACTGTAGTGCTAATTCACCTAATAATGTACAGAAAAACACTTTCATTGTGTGCAATGTTGACTTTTATTTTGTCCAAATTTTATCAGTATTATCAAGAACAGTGGACTTCTATCCACTGCTGTGACGATATCTCTTCCCCCTGCAGGCAGATTTGATGAATGCATTTAATTAGAACATGTGTTTAGGGGGCAAATATCAAAGTATGTATCCATCTCTTGGTGTCACCCGGTGGTCATGGACATCCGAAGGGGAAGATGGACCAGCCTGGAGGATGATGACAAACACTGAGAACCACTGTTACTTACAGTTAGAGGGGCCCAGGCCGTGACTTTGCCCAGAGACTCTCATAGAGACATGATAGTCCCCAAAGTGTGAGTGTATTTGGGTGTGAGTAACTGAGTGAGTGACTGTCAGACCTCAGGGTCATCAAGTCATCTGCAGCACTTGCAGACAGGTTTTGTCTTTGTTCTTATGTCTTGGTGTCCACTCAAGCTGGGCCTTCTGCTGCCTGCCCTTTTGCAAGTTCAGCCGTGCCCTTAATGAAGAGAAGTGGTTGGTGGATGTGATGTGTATCCGTGTCAGAATGGTTCAGGGCTTGTACCCATTAACCCTTGCAGCCTTTCTGATTTATTCAAACATGATAGGTTCCACTCTTTCTCAATGTCCAATACCTGCTCTAATATTTGGTCGTTTTGCTGGTGGAAAGAATTGAGAAACTACAATTACTTGTGTACATCCCTAGTCAAGATACAGTGGGTACGGAAAGTATTCAGACCCCCTTAAATTTTTCACTCTTTGTTATATTGCAGCCATTTGCTAAAATCAATACTTTCCGTACCCACTGTAAATTAAATACCACTATATAATAATGCTGCTGCTGCTGCTGCTGCTGATGTTAATAATATATATTAGAAATGATTATATTACAAACCTCAAATAATTATTATTATATTAATTATCATATTTTTTTCATAGTTTGTTATTGTACTAAAAAACAACGTTATGGGGTATTGTTTCTTTCTAGTGAATGTTTGCACCTCTTGGTCTCTTTGTACATGATTACTGGTCTGAAATAAACATTTAGATAGCTTTTCATCCTTTAATTTAATAAATAACAATTAGTTTATTTAGGCTATGTGGTTTATCCATCATAAATATTACGTAATTTAATATTTATCTAGTTTTATATTTATATAATTAAGTTTTATTTGAATGTTTATCAAGGTTGGCATGTGTTTCTTTCTTAATTTGTTAATAATCCCACTAATAACCTGCTCCACCTTGACCCCAAGGTCATATGCCAGGGCTCGTTAGTACCGTTATCATGGCTATGTGTCAGCTATGGGAGGGAGAGGGAGGAGGGGAAAGAGTCTGGGAAAATGAGGACACCAGTCAAACTGGAGGTCCGTGTCACAAAGCCTCTGCATCCTGTCATGAGTATGATGACACTAATTGGCAAAGTTACCCAAGGAGCCCTTAGGCACCAATAGAGAGGCAGCAAATGTAATGGAGGCTGCAGTAGTGATCTGCCCTAATTTGTAGGGTCATTCTGTAACAGTGGTGATAATCATGTGCAGAGGATATTTATCCCTGCTGATGTTTTCAGAGAGAGGTCAGTTTAATTAACAACCAGACAGTTGAGAAGGAAAGAACTCATATATGGTTTTTATCATTTAAATAACATTTATATTGTTTGTTAAATTTCATAATGATATGATAATATTAATATAATTTGTATTAAATGAATGCCTTATTATTATTATTATTATTATTATTATTATTAAAGAAGTTGCATGCACTGGTCAGTTTTCCAGCAGGAGCCTTTAAAATCTATTTCGAGTTTGTCAAAAATGCTATAGCGACAAACACGTTTGCCATTATGTCCTCTAGATGGCAGTATTGACCCATGATTTCAGTTATTACTTGGCCTATTAGATCAGTGTTTCCCAACCAGGGTGCAGTGTAAAACATCCTTTTTTAACATTGTTAAATTGCTAAAATGTTCAAAAAAAGCATCTGTTGTATAATATCCATTTCTGATGCTCTGCATATTATCCCGTTCTATGCATGTGTGCTCTGCTCCTTGGCTCCACTCATATGCCGTTCATGCTGATCGGAACAGCAAAGTCCTCTCAAAAATCGAGCCGACAGGAAACATCTATGTAGTACAGTATTGTTTCTGTTTGCAACAACTGTGCTGTAACATGGTGTGGTATATGGGCAACTCAGGTAACGCTGCCCTCTCATTCATTGATGTGCTATCCGCTATGTTATACTCGCGTGTTCTGATAATAATAGCTTTCTAGGACTAAACATTATTTGGATATAATTGGTAAAAAAAATAAATCTCTTAATAGCCTTGTTAGACCTACCTGAAAAACTAAAAAGCAATTTATTTCATTTGTTTCGTTATTATTTTTTGTGCTATCATTAGTAATTTGTTTGTTCTTATTTTATTACTGACTGCTTACTTGTCATTTTTTATTAAATTCAAAGTTTGAAATCAAGCTATCTTGTGCTACTGCAACAAAATTACCCCACTGTAAAATCAAAAATACACTGAGTGAGCAAAAATTTGTGAGATAGGCAATTAAAAAATGTTTACATATAAATAAAAGCCTACATGAAAATCTATCATATAAATTGGTCTCTTCATTAGAAATTCGCCTACTGATTGCCACCATTGATGGACAAAAAAATTGAATAATATTCAAAATATCTGTATTACAGTTTATTCTGCAGTTTTCCCTGCTGTACCGAATATCTATACTTTTCAAGGTATCATATCGAAGTTAGAAATTCAAGTATTGTGACAAAATTAATTTTGTAGGGTGTCACAAATTTGTTAAAATTTCCAAAGGGTGCCGCGACTAAAAAAAGGTTGGTAAACACTGTATTAGATTACCAGAACATTGTATTACACAAATAAAAGTTTTATGTAATTAAAAAAAAAAAAACTTAGTATGTGAATGTTTTTTTTTTGTGTGTGTGTGTGTTTGTTTTGTTTTTTGTATTAATATTCTTAGTAATGTGTTAGTAGTTTAATGGCTAAAGAGATCTGGGCTTGTTCAGGTAGAGATAACCTTACCACTGTAAATATAACTGAAAGCACTCTATTACCTTGAGGACAACACCTCAACTCCAACTCCTCCTCCAGTGGGACTGACTTTGCAATCACTATAATTCAATTTAAGTGGCAAGCAGCACAATACACATGCTTGTGAAACTCTGTTGAGAGAGACTGAATTTAGTTGACTTATCTAGTGATTCACAACTAGGTGCATCCCAGGGAGTACTAGAAAGATGTCAATGCTTTGCTAAATCTGAAAAAAAAAGAAAATATTATAAATATTCAAAATATTTGGTCAGTAGATTTTATATAACTGATAGGTTAATATAATTTGTGTCATTAGTTTAAGAAAAAATCTTTAAAAATAAAAAAAAATAACAGAAATGGCTGTTTATTTTTCTCTATTATGAGTCTGTCTTCCATGCATTGCTGTTTACTCTAAACTTCAGTGCCTGCAGTATCAACTACAAGCTTTCTATGGAAATGTATTTAAATGGATGGTCTATCGCCTCGTAGACGTACTGAGGGAGCTTCATAAGTTCACTGGGGTCTTGATGAGGTTACCGCTTTGATTTCCTTGGAAATGTGTTTCAGTGTGTCTCTGTTGTTTCAGTATAACAGATGAAGCAGGAGCGTCCATCTACAGTGTGAGTCCAGAGGCTGTTAAAGAGATGCCTGACATGGATCCCAACTTAAGGAGTGCAGGTGATTTACATATTCCTTCTTTTCATGCTTTCAGAACTAGTATTCGTGCATAATGCAATTTAATGGTTATGAATGAGACAAACACAAAATCTGAAATCAAAGAAGCACTTACTTTTAGTACTAACCCATTATCAACTGTTGATATGGCTGTCGGTAGATTTAAAATTGTTTGCCATTAATCGCCCATCTGCCAGTGCTAACAGTGTTAAAAAAATAAAAAATAATAATATTACATAAAAATACAGTATTTTTGAAAAAAAAAAATATTGAAAAGATGATTAAAAAATAAAATATTATACAAATTATAAAAAAATTAAAGATGACAAAAATATCTAAAAATATATTAATATTATAAAAAGATATAATAATCCAAGGAAATAAACACATTTGTCAAAATCTAAAAAAAGAGAAAAATAAGATCTAAATGATAAAGAATCACAATATTTTGACAATAGTTATTGACCCTGTAATGGTAAAGATGGTTTTTGGAAACGATTTTGCAAACGTACAACCTTGTACAAATGAATGTCAAAGCTTTTATATTTTCCAGTGCCAAAGAATCCAAGTCTTCAGTCGCACTGGCCTTACCTGTCAGTCCAACTCAGCTCCCACTCAACCAGACCTTTACTTGCCATTTCAGTCAACCCTGTCTCCTTAGTCTGAAACAGACTCCTTGTTTTCTTTAGGCCACATTCATATCTCCAGTTGTCAATACATGGATTTCAGAAGCAGTGACAGTACCTTTGGAAATAGTCTTTCACAGTCTATCAAACCATTTCGATTCACTTCTCTCTATATCTGTCATACCATTAGATATTTTTCTGTGAAACAGAACTTTCTGTAAAAGGTTTGCCTGTGTTTAGACCACACAAGCACCCTCTCTACTCTTCCAAAAATAAAAAAAGCAAGGCGAAAAGTTTGGAAATCGCTTAAACGTTCTCAAAAACAGGATCTGAGAATTATACCAGACTTCCTCTATAAAAGCAGTAAATCAGTATGGGATTAATCATAAATTTTCCTCTGGTCAAGTGCAAGGGCAAACTAGGGAGCTATATTTATCGCTTTTATGAAAGGCGTAAGAAATTGGTCTGTCCTTTGTGGGATGTGTGTAAATGTGTGTAGTGTTTTGTGTTTCATGCATTAACACTGCTACATTACTAGCATATAAATAATTCAATAATGTCTATTGTTTTTTGTGTTAATGAATTAGGGCTGAACGATAAATCGCATGCGATATTTAATGCGCATCTTATCAGTAAAGCCGGTTCTGTAATCAGCGGTAAATCTCC